GCGTTTCTCTGTCCAATCAGCTCACAGACATCAGAGGGAAAGATTAGAATAAACCAGATAAATCATTAAAACGTTTGCACACTGTTTTTGTAATGTATCTTGTAAACTTACATGTAAATAATAGCATATGATATTTATAATTAAATATTAGATAAACTAGCTTAAACTAAACAAAAAGTTTAGTCCTAATAAGCACTATATAACTAACTAAATAAAAAGTAAATCTGAAATAAAAATCAATTAAGTATATAGAATACTAATGAAAATGTCACATAATAAAAGTGCTCAAATTAAAATGTGAAAATATAAAATTAAAACTATAACTGTATGAATTATATTTAAATAACACTACTAGAGGTGAATAAAATATTTTCATGATTTCATATTTTGTCAAATTAACTCATTTGATTTTCTGTTAATTAAATCAATCTGCTTCATTCTTTATTCAATACACTTGATATTTAAAGGCAGTCGGGCTACTTATTTTTTTCAGGTTAAATCAATAATATTTTATTATTTCAAAATGTTAATTACATGTAAAGTATATAAAGCATACTTTAAAAATCAGTCCTGAACTCTCATGGTGTGTTTTATGCTTTGTTAATTAAGTCTATATAAATAAAATGGGAAAGATTAAGAGAAATGATTTAGATCTATTCAAAGTATTTTGTGTTTTCCCTGTGTTTTTGTTCTTGTGTGTGAACAAAAGATGAGATGAAGATCTCCAGAGACCTAGATGATCTTGGTTGTAAATGTTCTCCACAAAAGGGCCTCAAACTCTTTTTTGTTTCTTTGATAAAAGCAGATCGGGCTCGTCTAACAGATTTCAGATGCATCTCTGTAATGGACACTTTTATGATTTGCCAGACAAAATGCTTCCCACACTTTTGGCAAACTCCTGAGCATCACACAGACTGCTTTGTTTGGTCTCTGAGAAGGTGTCAGCAACACTTTCGGGTAAAAACAGAGTCTCCAGACGTTTGTCCTCTCCGTGTCCTGCACCTTTGGGTCTTAAAAATCACTCCGGGATCAACAGCAAATATTCTTCCCTGCGGATCTGCCATCCTGGATCTTTCCCATCATGCACCAGATCAGCATTAGTCAGCAGGGTGGATCTACATTGCATCACACTCGCAAATAAAAAGAAAGACACACATCTGTGATGTGACAGCAGCTGACAGAGCGGTTCAGTTCGACACAAAGCCAAACACTTCACACGTCTAAATAAAGACGATTAATAACGATAACAACGATTAATAAATACTTTTGCTCATTCGTAGTTAAAGGAGTAGTTCACTTTTTTTAAAAAAAACTTTTGCTGATAATTTACTCACCCCCATGTCATCCAAGATGTCCACGTTTTTCTTTCTTCAGTCGAAAAGTCATTAAGGTTTTTGATGAAAACATTCCAGGATTTTCTCCATATAATGGACTTCAATGGGGTCCAAACGGTTCAAGGTCCAAACGAGAATTTCAGTGCAGCTTCAAAGGGCTTTAAACGACACCAGACGATGAATAAGGGTCTTATCAAGCGAAACGATCGCTCATTTAAAAAAATAAATACAAAAGTTTAAGTTTTATAAGCACAAATGCTCGCCTTGCTCTGTTCTGTGATGCGCGTTCGTCAAACTCGTTCATCAAAATGAACGAATCTTTTTTCGAGTCATGACTTAAAGGGTCCTACATAAGACCCTTATTCATCGTCTGGTGTTGTTTAAAGCCCTTTGAAGCTGCACTGAAACTCTAATTTGGACCTTGAACCGTTTGGACCCCATTGAAGTCCATTATATGGAGAAAATCCTGGAATGTTTTCATTAAAAACCTTAATTTCTTTTCGACTGAAAAAAGAAAGACATGACCTTCTTGGATGACATGGGGCGAGTAAATTATCAGCTAAATTTTTTTGATAGTGAACTACTCCTTTAATACATTAAATAATGGACCTTTTTGTAAAGTGTTACCATGATTTTTCAGTGTTATAAAGTAAATGAGAAGTCTGACCTGTAATCATCGTCTTATGTGTGAACCTCAGTGACGGTGATGATAATGACTGAAGCAACCAGATTTTCATCACAATCTCCCATTTTTCTGAGCTGAGTAACACGCCTGACGCACAGATTACAGCTTGTGTGTGTGTGTGTGTGTCGTCTGCTTCCCTGTCTGTCAGTCTGGGCTGAACCCAATCGCCTGCATGATGATGATACTGTGGGCATGGTAGTTTGATAGTGCTGGCATCATATTACCAGATGAATATGAATCATCAAGATGTTGTTAGACAGCATTAAGCATTATTCATTGTAATGGAATCATCCATGCAGAGGCACATTTTCTGTCTGGAGGATACATATAAAACAATCTTTCTATATTTTATCCCCAGACCTTTTGAAGGCTTTTCCAGTCATTTTGTTAAAGTTATTATTTATTTGTATTTTTTTAGAATCACAGATGGATTATCATATGACATGGAATTAGTCAGTTTCGACCTCAATCATTTGAGGTTTCGTGTTAGCTAACTTCATAATAAGTCTTCTTCTAAGTTTCTTTCCATATCATGTTTGATATAAATTGGCTTTATGCACAGCTTCACTACTTCCTGAACTTCAGCCAGCTTCTTGTTTCCTGTCTGCCATTATTGGCCAAATTGATTAATTCAGGTGTCTGATTATTGTTGCCATGACTACTGAGGTCAAGCACACCTGAATTAATCAATTTGTTCAATAATGGCAGACAGGAAACAAGGAGCTGGCTGAAGTTCAGGAAGTAGTGCAGCTGGGCATAAAGCCCATTGACTATTGCTTTATGTTTTTCTCAATGTATGATCTATTTCAGATGCATACATTGGATCAATTACCTAGTTTTCTGCAAATGTCCTTTTGACCTAAAGTATAGGCTAATTCATTGCATGGTAGTATGTTTGTTTCTGGAGAACTGATGCATGGGCAAACGGGTCTCTAAAAGTTGTCATCGCTAAATCATCGCGATTAAAACTGTCAATACTTTATCAACTAATATAGGCTAACTGTATAACAACTAGCCTATATTGTAAGCTGATTCCTTTTGCATCGCCGTCAACTACGCATTTTACACTATGTAGCCTAACTTTTCCGTCTCCAGGCATAAAAAAGCGATTTCCCGCGAAATCCGTCCCGACAGCTCTAAACGAGGAACGTCATTGTTTGGAAAAGTGCATTTTTAGGCATCATACTATTTTGTTTGTTATTTTAAATAAATATATTGAAATGAACGGGTGGTTAGGTGCAAAAATGTCCTAAAAATTCAAGATGTAGGCCTATGGGCAAAAAGTGACCTTTAATATTTTAGCAGGACATATAGTGACGTGTTCCCGAATATCCGCACGATTGCAAATGTGACAGTTTATTGACAATAAAGTAGTCAAAATGTTAGGTGACGTTCATTTTTATAACATTGTCTATTTTGCATTATATTTTGCCAAGGAGAATAGTGTTCCAAACACAGTGTTTCATTACGCGTTTTCAACGAATCGTTATAGGCTAGAGAGAGAGAGAGAGAGAGAGAGAGAGAGAGAGAGAGAGAGAGAGAGAGAGAGAGAGAGAGAGAGAGAGAGAGAGAGACATCCAAATCCCAGACTCTCAACTATGAGTAACATACAGTAATAGTAATGCCTTGAACTTGATCTCGACACGACGGTCTTTCAGAGTGAGTGACGCTGCATTATCTCAGGACGGGTGTGGCGGGTGTTATCAGACTTCCTGTCATCGATGATGTGCTGAGTGAGTCAGGGAGGGTGACACGCCCACATGCCACAGTCATGTCAAAGCTAAGGCCCCTACGGGCCCCTGGATGTGTGTGAGAGGAGTCGATGAGGTTTGGCAGTGGGTGCAGACAGCTGACACGGGCCTTCCATCACAACGAGGATCACAATCTCAAGTTTACAGATCTGTCCTGACTTCCAGACAAAAGAAGAATTCAACCAATATATTCAAGACTTTACTCACTTTATAAGGGGGCGGGGTGCTTAAGAAAGGAATCTTGTCATGAGAACAAATATATTTTATGGTGCCTTATAAATTCCAAAGATGCTCAATAATGTGTAGCAATAACATAAACTATAAAAATTAAAAGGCTTTTGTGAGGTCTGCCATCTTGTGTTCATTGATACAAACGACATTTCAAGACTATTGGGTGAAAACTTCATGAGATACTAGGTTTTGTTTAAGGTTTCTACAAATTAGGGGTCCGTATTTGTATAAAAATGCTGGGTTGTTTTAACCCAACTTTGGGTCAAATATGGACAAACCCAAACATTGGGTTAAAAATTTAACCATATTCACTTTATAACCCTTAATCCTGTTATTGTGGACAAATGTGGGGACAGAGGACTCAGGTGTGATCCTAATTTTTATTTATTATAAATGTTAAATCACTGTCTTCGATAAAGTTTTGTCTATTTATTTTGGGGGGTATCTTTGAATTTATTTACTAACAAAAAGTACCATATTTTCTATGTAAATTAGGCTTTTTTTTTTACTTCATTAAAATATCATTCCAATAAGTTCTTAGAGCTAAAACCTAAAGATGAAGTGACTTTGCGGTCACCTGGTGCCTTAATTTGGCTTATTTTAAGATGCTCTAAATTCCAGTTTTTCCCATACATTTTTGACCCAAATACAAGATTAAGGAGTTTTTTTTCACCCACTTAACATTGTAGAATTGAGTCAAAAAAAAAAAAGTGGAAAACTTAGGAAAAGTAGCCAAGTCTTGCACAGCTCAGATCAAGGGAAGTATTTTTAAAAAATAAATCAAAACTCTTTTGCCCACATTTGTCCAGAATACGGTTTTAGAGTTAAAAATGTAACCCAATGGATGGGTTTGTCCATATCTGACCCAAAATTGGGTTAAAACAACCCAGCATTTTTAGAGTGAAGTTACTATTATGAAAAAAGTACATGTTCATATGCTCATATGTACAGTAGGTGTTCTGCATCACTTAATAAGTTGACCAAAAAGAATCAAACTAGTCAAGGAAAGTGAAATTGTTTTATTGAAGTCATGCACATCACACTTGTTAGTGCAAATACCCCTTATCTGTATTATGTTTTTACAAAATAGAATTCTGACAACGAACTATCTTTGATGTTCAAAACAAAAGTGTCATTCTGAGCTCTCAATCAAAGAAAGAAATTTAAAAAAAACAATATTTACGAACAAAACTATATACAGGCAGTGCGCCGTACTGACTCGGGTGGTAGTTGGTGACCGGTTTAAATACATCTTTCCTCAAAGGCCCTGAAAAACACCAGGTTTAGCTTCGATTCGAAACTGACGACTCTCATCATCTTTGAACTGACAGAAGAATACACATTTTAAGCTTACAAAAACCAGCCTAGGTTCAGCGTTCATTTGCGTTTGCAAGAAAACCCTCGTGTTCAGCACATTTCAAGCATGCATTCTGAATGTGGAAAACTGCATGTTAAAAATGCATCTATAAAAGTACATGGAACGGCGATGTAAAACAAGGAAAAGGCCAACGCATCATATCCTGAAAACTGGCTCCAGCAGCAAATTAGATATGACCAATATCATTTATATCCAATTTTTTTTTATTTTGTGACTATAACATATATTTACACACAAACATTCATACATACATATTTACAAACGGCCTATGAGCATTCGTCTATCTAACGTGAAGGACAATGATACTAAAAATAAAGTCCATCATGCTGCGTAAAGAATGCATTTATCATTAAAGCTATTCCCTCTGTGCTACAAGCTTTGCTTTTTTTGCATTCACGGTCAAATCCATGTTGAATTGGATTTTAGTCTTTCCAGTAAAACAACAAAGGATGCAAAAACAAAAGTCCTCGACACGCTGAACCAGATGAGTTAGGCTTTTTTGCTCCAAGACTGTTTATTTACAGCACAGCAGACAAATGTGAACCACACACACCAAACACATCATTGGTTAATTCATCTTCCTCCAGTCTCAAAGCAGCTTGCACATCCAAAATTAAACAACCCCCCTAAATAACTCACTCTCACCCATTTCTGTGCTTCATAGGAGTGGATTTGTGACGCCTCCACCCATTTATCATTTCCCAACATTCATTTTAAAGCCTTTGCATCCATGAGACCTATTGTACAGGTAAGGCAGCAAAATCCCAGAGCCTTTTTCAGGAGGTACTGTAGGAGTTTCAGTACAGAAAAACTCAACTCGAAGTCCGAACAGCAGGACAGTGTGTTGGTAAAAAGCTACAACTTTTGTTTTGTTTTTTTTAGGTCAATGCTCCATTGACCACAATCCTACATTGAATTTCAAAACCATCTAAATACTTGTAGTGTGTCTCTGACGTGAACATTTGCTTATTACACATGATACAAGAGAAAACAGCCATAGAGAACGACGACATCACTGTGCTAGAAGCATGTCGGATCGAACACAATAACAGCACGGATGACGTGAAACTGAGACTTTTTTGTCCATTCAGGATCGAATTAATGAGTGGCACTTCGATGTGAACTAGACCTAGTTGTAGTATTTAAAGTAGGCACTTGCCCCTCTGTGCCCTAGAGTTCAGATATTTTCATCTATTTGGGTTGACCACATCTAACATGGATAACCACAAGTGGCTGACAGAAAACGTGAAAACAAACAGAACGTTAGACCTAGTTTAGGCCATTTTAATAATCAAAAAATGCAGATAGATTATTTATTCTATAATATGCATTAGAACTTTATTCCCTCTTTCTTTCTATACTATATACATTTGCATTTTACACAGACATCGGGGCTGTAATTGTCAAAACGAGAGGTATTACGTTCGGATTTATGCCATGTGCCCGGATCAAAACTGACAATGCGTTGTGATTGGTTGATGTTCTCAAGAGGAGCTCTTGGAAACGTTGGGATAAAGCACCACTGCCGTCACTGCGACCACTGCGGCAATCACCGGCATCCAGGGCATCCATCCGCTCTGAAACCGGGAGGAGAGAAACAGCAGTGCGATTAATAAAGGTCATTATACGCACCAAAGCACTGGAGACTGGAGCTGAAGAGACAGAGACCTGGGTGATTGTAAGAGACAGAGAGTTCAAGAAACACAAATAAACGGAGAGAAAGAGGGAAAGCAAATATTTGAGTGAAACTGGGAGGACCAGTTTCCTCACAGGAGTTATAAAGCAAACACGACAGTCTTTCTTTAAACTTAAAGAAAGAAAAGTAGCGTTTTAAAGGAACAGTTCACTCAAAAATTACAATTTAGACGTCGTTTCAAACCCGTGCGACTTTCTTCTAAAAAGCAGGACTAAAAAAGAAAAACCTTTGACTATCAGTAGCCCTCACTTTATAATCATGTAATTGAGGACAAATGTTGGGACTCAGGTGTGGTGATCATTTTTATTTATTATAAATGTTATATCACTGTCTTTGATAAAGTTTTGTCTACCCATTTATGGTGTTTTTTTATTTATTTTGGGGGTATCTTTGAATTTATTTACTTGAAAATGTACCATATTTCGTATGTAAATTATGCTTATTTTTATGTTTTATTTTAAAAAAATTTTTAACTACATTAAAATATCATTCCAATAAGTTCTTAGAGCTAAAACCTAAAGATGAAGTGATTTTGGCTTATTTTAGGATGCTCTAATTTACAGTTTTTCCCATTCATTTCTATGGGTGCCCATTTTTGACCCAAATACAAGATTTTTCACCCACTTAACATTGTAGAATTAGGGGAAAAAAATGTGTGTGTTCAGGAGGCAAACTTAGGAAAAGTAGCCAAGTCTTGTACGCTCAGATCAAAAAGTATAAATCAAAATTATTTTGCCCACATTTGTCCAGAATACGGTTTTAGGGTTAATAATAAATGTTAAACTATAGGGCTTTTATTTTGGCAGAAAATCGCTCAATACATGAATTTTGAAGCTATTTGTTTTCTCTCATATTAATGCTATTCTTTAGTGCAGAAAATATGGAAATCCATATAAATATGGTAAACAAAATTAGCAAGCACCTTGAAAGAACTATACTGTGAACATAATGTATAAGGGTTCTCATACTATTGGGGGCTTTTTGGTTCTCGATGTTCGAAATGGGAACGATTTTAGTTGTAGGAATGCCTTTTGAGGGGACTAAATTAGATTTGGGTCTTACCCAGCACAATAGGAACTACCTGTGATGCAAGTGCATCCAATCCTACCGACTGGTTGTCACAAAGTCATATCTATGACACTTTTATGCTGCTGCTTTGTTATTGTACAGCCACTGATCACTTTATGCTTTCACTGTATGAACTTCCTTCAAAACCTCTTCGAACGATAGCAAGTCAAACAGGTTTGAAACGGCATGAGGGTGAATCCATGACAATGGTAATTTTGGGTGAAATATGCCTTTAATGTCATGAAAGTAAAGAAGAAAAGCAAAAGATGGTGATGATATGATGACCAAAATGCCCCAGAACAAAAGAAAACAAATAGAGAAAGAATCCAAAATCCCCAAATGCAAAGATTTATATGACCATTATGGCGATCCAAGCAAGACAGACAGTTAATGTGATTGGTTAGTAGTAGGTGATTCTTAGTAGAGTTCCCCACGTTTGCCAAGCACCAAAAAGGGATTTTGGGGCGAAGCGGGTGCAGAGATGACGAATGAGAGTTTGCCATGCACAGGTCGTATATATGTGATGATATATACAGGAGACACACAAACACAGACTCAACAGGAGCGTGTGTACCTTTCTACCACAACTGGCTGAAGCACCAATACAGCAAAGCCAGGAATAGACCGATGAAAATGGCTTGGACAGGCTGCAATATGGATGGCTAGAGGAGGGAAGGGATATTACAAATAAAACAAAAAATCAATCTTCAAACTATTCAACGGAAATCAGGCTGGGGAGTCGAACAACTACAACAAACATACAAACAAAAAAGGGTGCAGTGGGAGGATCCGTTGATAAATCGACACAAACAAAAATATCAGACGCCCCAAAACCACAGACACATCTAGAAGCATGACATCAGGAACGAGGACAGTGTTCAAGGCATTAATAACACACAGCAAAGGAAAAAAACTGGTTATTTGCATTCAACTAAATATATCTACAATCAAAGACAAGTGATTGTGACTTCAATCAGCAGTGGGATTGTGGGATACACTAAGGTGATAATTACAGTGTTGTGTAGCAAATTGTAACCCCACAAAATTAAAACTAAAAGTGAGAAAATATTCTCCTCATAGGTCATGATGATGAAAAAAGGAGAACCTGAAAGTGAAATATTTTATATATGAAGAGTTCAGACGCAAAAGCCTCTAAGTGCCATTTGAAATTTTCTTCTAGAATGATCATTTTTATCAAGCTTGTATATTTAAATTGTATATTTAAAATGAAGATTACCTATTAATTGTCATTCAAGTGAAATGACTGAACTTGAATTATAAGCTTGATAAAAATGATCATTTTAGAAGAAAATTTCAAATGGCATTTAGAGGCTTTTGCATCTGAACTCTTCATATAACAAACAAAATGGAGGCAAACATTAATATCCATAAATGGAGTAATTCCAAGAGGGTCCTCGCACCAATGAAACCCTAATGAAACCTATTGGGCATTTCTGTTTGTATAAGAAAACAGAAACAGTGTAAATCTCCATATCAGAACCTGTCCAACTATAAAATGTTTTAAATCATCGCTAAAAACTTCTCTTCTTCTTGGCGTTTCATTAGAGTTAGGTTTGTTATCCCTCCCGACAACTTTATAATATTTCTTTATTTTTATCTTTTTAATGGAAACATTATTACTTCTCATTTATAGTATATTTTAGTGTTTTACTACTTTATTGTGTGAGTATTGTATTGTTGTGTATCTATCTTGTGAAGCACCTTGGTTGTTTTAGGTGTGCTATACTAAAATTGAATTGAATTGAACGTGTTGCACCTGAAAACGTTGGTGTTAGCAAAGAATATTTGCAAACAACTCACAAAATCTGTGTGTTTGTGTGTGTATTCTTCAGATCCATGCAAAACAGCCAAGTAAGATCTATCACTGGTTGCTGACAACTGCATTAAATGGCGTAATGTAAACGACAGCTAATTAAATGAAGTATAGTATAGGCTGAAATTGCATTGCGGATTAAACGTGCTGGTTGCGAGACTCACAGCGCTGCTCTTCTCTTGCAGGAGTTTGAGGTTGACCTTGCACTGTTCCAGCTCATCGTTGATGGAGCATTTCTCCTGCTCCGTCTGTTCGTACCGCTGCCGGAGATCAGACAGCAGATTCTGAGTGTCGTCGTACTAGAGAGAAAGAGGGAGGATAAAATGCAATCATTAAAAAAAAAGGTTACGGTCAGAGTTGTAGTCCAATCGCCTGTTCTCATCTCGACAAATACCCAATAGGATTGTCCCATAGGTTTGTGGTTTATCACAAAAAACAAGCTCTGTGATCAACAACAGTTTATGATACTGACACTTTTTGTCCATAAAGATCATTTTCACAACTTTTGAAGCTTAAATACAGCCACCAGAAGTAAAAAGCTATAAACGAACTACATCACGGTCACACAAATTCAACGCCACCATCACTAAGCTTCCAATAACTCTTTCAGTTTTTATCTAAAAAACACTTTTTCCCAGAAAGTTTGAGTTAGAATAGAATATAAGAGCATAACTATAAGCATAACGAGGCTGAAAATGCGGACTGAGCTAATATGTTCGGCGTGATGACGTTCAATTTGCCCGACGGCCTCCCATTTAGACGCATAACAGCTTCAAAAACGTCACGAGTGGAGTAATACTGATGTTTTATGTCATAGAATAAAATGTGAAAGTGTCTTGAGCTTGTGTTCACCTTATTTGTGCCATTTAAAGTCGTCATGAAATCAAAACGTACCCTATTTACTTTGTTAGCTATAAAATGTCATGTTTATTTGTGCTTTATTGTAAAGTGACCTTGAGTATTCTGTAAGGCGCTATAAAAAAATAAACATATCATTATTATTAGCGCACATTACTAGTCTTGTGGTGAACAATTAACAATTAAGTTAATACCCACTAAAAATGGTTTGTCGTGGTAATCTTTAATCAACATTTTAACATTTACTTCCGCTAATGACGTCAGTTTGAAGGCTTGGATATAATATCCTTATCCTCCAACCATTGGTTTTCTATAGTGAGGGATGGAGAGGAGGTGCGCTGAAGTAATATGTCATGAAACTGGAGAAATTCGGTTTTAACTTCCGGTTCACAGGGAGTAAAATGCTAACTCGTTTCGGCCTACGAGTAAGTAATGTCATACCAGCTATTGGTGCGTTCAAGTCCTTGTGGGAAGTTTGTATTTACGAGGTGGGAAGTCGAGCTCACATCAGTCTCGTCGGATTAAGCTGGTGGTGTACTTTCTCTTAAATAATTACACAAAAATACAGAGAGGTTCTTAAAGGAGAACTCCGGCGCAAAATGAACCTTTGGTCTAATTGCACATTGTTACCTATTCAACCGTTATCTGAGATTTTTTTTCATGATTGCCGAATCTAAATAGTTTTATCTCTAAAAACAGTTTAGCCTATAATGCTAGTATAACGCTAGTCTATAGGGCATAGAGCAATGACAAATAAAAATCGCTTTTTATTACCACTAACAAGGCTCAAAATAGCCCCACAGTAACACGACAGCATAATAAGGATCCCTACATTCAAACCGAAGCATTGAGAACGTTGTCAGTGTCCATACAGTTTAATAAGAAGATATTTTATAGACACAGTCAACTTCGCGAATACAGGAAGAAGCCATCTTTGAAAAATAGTCTCTACCAGTCGATCTACGAACGCCGATCCAAGTGCGCTGAACTGTGCAGAATCTCATATGGTCCATTGTTTCCGGAAGAAACACAAACACGAACCATTTTCTTCTCTTTAATATGTACATGTTGCCTACTGTTCGCGCTCACATTATCACTTTATTCACATCTCACCAGCGCACTTGGATCGGCGTTCGTAGATCGACTGGTAGAGACTATTTTTCAAAGATGGCTTCTTCCTGTATTCGCGAAGTTGACTGTGTCTATAAAATATCTTCTTATTAAACTGTATGGACACTGACAAAGTTCTCAATGCTTCGGTTTGAATGTATGGATCCTTATTATGCTACAGTGTTACTGTGGGGCTATTTTGAGCCTTGTTAGTGGTAATAAAAAGCGATTTTTATTTGTCATTACTCTATGCCCTATAGACTAGCGTTATACTAGCGTTATAGGCTAAACTGTTTTTATAGATAAAACTATTTACATTCGGCAATCATGAAAAAAAATCTCAGATAACGGTTGACTAGGTAACAATGTGTAATTAGACCAAAGGTTCATTTTGCGCCGGAGTTGTCCTTTAAACTCTAGTTAAAACGAAGAACAAAAGAAATGTGCATTTTTTATGTTTTTAATTCATATATGAAGCCACAGCGAACTTTATCGTTACATATTATATTGTTATATTATAATCCCATCATATTCTGTGCAAGTAGTTAACTTACTTCACTGTAAATAGAAAAGCCTGACAATATCACTGCTAAATACCTTGAAGTATTGTGATATCCCACCATGTTTCTCACGGACACGCCCACAACTCACAAAAGATCGGGGCTTAAAGAAAATCCACATTGTGAAGGCGTTCATGTGAATTTAACTCGTAAATACTATTGCGATCTATACGAGATGACTTGAACGCACCATTATATGGTTCAAAACTTTGGGAAGTTGATCATACCTCCTTCTGCAGGTCTCTGGTGCGGTTCTCCGCTTGGGACAGTTGGATCCTCAGTTTGCTAGCGTCCTGTTGGTGCTGGTCTTGTATTGAGCCCAGTTTATTCGCCAGGTCACCCTGGGATTTCTCCAGATCGTTTAGGCTGCTGCACAACGTCTCACTCCGCTCTCGTGAACTGCGACACAAAGAAAGGAAAATAAATACTCTTCTGTTTACATTTCAGAAAAATGGAATAAATTCATGTTGTTGAGTGGATGTGACGCTTTAGGGCAGATGAGCTCATAGCGGTGATGATAACGTAAGCACACTGAATAGGGCGCTTAAGTACAGGACAAAGGTGCTTCAACATTACAAAGGTAACCTGTCATGATGCAGTTGTGTAATATGGTGAGTGATTCAAACATTCTCCATTTATGTGAGCAGGTGTGGACTGTGTACTAAAACATTGTAAATCCTGGTGACTCACTTTTGTTGTGTGAAATGATCTAAACGACATTGAATGGGCTTTTTGTGTGCATGTGACCCACCTGTCGAGCTCTTCCTCTAGTCTGAGGAGTTTCTGCATTAGCGTTGTCTTCTCAGCCCGAAGACTGTCACATTCATTCTGCAGACCAGAGCACTCGCCCTGAAGCTTCTCTAATTCACCTGACAGACAGAAACAGAGGGGAACAAATAATGTAACACACCAAACACACACGTTTACACAAGTAATATTATATATATTGTATTGTATATAATGTATTACACAAGTAATACATTATATATAAGTGCTGGGCAACAATCAATCGCATCCAAAATAAAAGTTTGTGTTTACATAATATGTGTGACGTGTATGTACAGTGTATAATTATTTTGTAAATATAAATTACACACGCGTGTATATTTAAGAAAAATGTGTTATTCATATATAGTATAAATGATTTATAAAGTTATATACAGTATATACATGCAAATTATTAAATAATTATATTCATGTGTGATTTATATATATAAAAAATATTTATAGGCCGAACACACAAATATTATGTCTAAAAAAACTTTTATTTTGGGTTCGATTAAATGTTGTCCAGCACTAATATTAATATATTAATATATATTATGCTAATATTATACACTAATATTAATATAAACACACACACACACATACACATAAATATATATATATATATATGAGATATATATATATATATATATATATATATATGAGATATATATATATATATATATATAGAGAGAGAGAGAGAGAGAGAGAGAGAGAGACACACAATCTAATCTAAATATAAATCATTACATTTTACTATTCAAATAAAAAAATTATTTTGGGCATCAAAAAGAAATTTGGTTTCACTGTATATATCATTTTTTAAAGAAAATCTGTCAAATTAAACTTGACTAATTAGAGAGAACTTAAATTTGAGCCATTTTAAATTGTATGCATTAGGTATTTGGCACATCAGTTAAAACTATAATCCAATATAAGTGAAGACAAATATTTCAAACACAGGCTAATTTAATACTTGCGCATTCTGGCTTTCAGTCCAGTGTGTCCGTTTCCAAACTTTTTGGTTTCAGCATTGGTGAATCACTACTATTAAATGTATCCTGCCGTATTTTATTTTAATGGGTGAGAATTTGTGCAGCCTAACATGGATCCAAAAGATCTCAGAAGCACCGTCAAAACACTTTTATATACATTTTTCCGTGAAAAACAGAACAAGGAACCAATCAATAATAAATAAACCCAGCAGGATGGTCGAAAATAAAACTGTTTCCATGACTCTGGACGACACATTAAAGAGGGCCAGGAGAGAAAGACCCCAGTAAGAAGGCTAAATTAAAAACACATGTGTGCGTTCTCAATCTATGAAGAACTCTTGTGTAATGAAATTAATCTTCCGGAACTTAATGGATAGAATAAAATAAAAATAGGCAGCAGAGCAAATAAACATTATGGTATAGTGTCTAGCATTCAAAATTGCGAAATATTACAATCTCTATTTAAATATAATTTAAAATGTAATTTATTCCTTTGACGATAAAGCTGAACTTTTAGTATCATTACTCCAGTCTTTAGGGATCCTTCAGAAATAATTTTAATAGGCTGATTTGGTGCTTATTTTGTGGAAACCGTGATAAAAAAAGATGTTGATGTCCTAAAACAAACATATCTTGCTGGCTGTAGATATAAGCGTAACAGCAGGAAAATTGGAATCTATATGTATATATATATTGAACGCATTTATAACGTATATAAACTCAAACTATACAAATGAGAGGAAACTAATGTTTCAAAGGTGCTAATGAAGAGAGAGAGATCAAAGACACCCAGATCAGTGATGATCTCAGCCACTTTTCCTCTGAAGTCTTGATATATGGCTCAGAAACAGCACATCGGCCACAGCAGGTTCACCACGGGAGCTGTAATGACGACAGAAACGAGTGGTGGTGGTGTGTCAGTACCTTGGAGTTGGCTGGCTCTCTCCTGGTGCTGACTCTGGAGCTGGAAGCTGGTCTGCAGATTGCTGATCTCCACTTCATACTTTGCTGCCGTCTGTCTCCATTTGTCCAGTTCTGCGGTGACGATGCTCAGGTCTCCCTGCAGGGCGGCGATCTCCCGTTCCCGCTCGGCAGTGGCGGCCTCCATCGCGTGCCGGAGCACCAGGATCTCCTCCTGGGCGCTGTAGAGCTCGTCTCGGGTGGTGGAAATAGTGTTTTCCCTCTGCTCACGCAAAGCCTCCATGTCCGACTGGAGCTTCGCTAGTTGAGCTGAAGAGAAAGATGAGTTACGGTCATTTTTTTACCATGATTCTCGGGTGGTGTTCGGTCAAACTAGTAGTGACGCGCCAGAATTTAAGCACTGAAAATTATTTTTGGTTGTGTCTGAAACCGTTTTGGAGAGTGGAGATCATTTTTAATGACTTTTTAATGACTAAAACGTTCATTTACAGTGAGAGAATCACAATAAGAATTGTGCTTTGTTACTTTTTGATATGCAACAAAGTCTGAGTTTTCAAATTCTGTCAAAATGTTTAATAAACGTTATTTTGGCACTCTTTAATGTGGCATGTCGAATCGCTGTAGCGCCTCTGTGAACCAATTATCTCTTTACTACTAGTTATAGCACAAAATAAACATGCATGAACACTAGAAGGTGTGTTAAAAAAAAGGTACAGTACAACTGACTGAAATGTATCATGTCTCATGTTTTTTAACTTAATAGAACTTGTAAATATGTCACATAAAGTTATATTCAGAAAAGCCATTTAATAAAATTTATGCAAAAACATATTTTTACTAGGGCTGTGCAAAAATTAATTGCGATTTATCGCATCCAAAATAAAAGTCTGTGTTTACATAATGTATTTGTGTGTGCTGTATATAATTATTTTGTATATATAAATACCTATGCATGCATGTATATATTTAAGAATTATTTGTGCTTAAATTCTGTATATATATATATATATATATATATATATATATATATAAATACTAGGGGTGGGCCGTTATAGGCGTTAACGTGCTGCGTTAACGTGAGACTCTTCGTGAGAATCTAGATTAATCTAGATTAAAAAAATTAAACTATGCCCACCTCTAATAAATACATAATCTATATTATATAAATATAAATATTTTATATATGAATAACACATTTTCTTAAATATATACATGCATGTGTGTGTATTTATATATACAGAATAATTATATACAGCACACACAAATATATTATGTAAACACAGACTTTTATTTTGGATGCGATTAATCGCAATTAATTTTTGCACAGCCCTAATTTTTACTTAACATGTTGTCTTAATTATTACTCTGAATAATAAAAACGTCATCAAAACAAGTTATTACAGCCACATTTAAAGATTTATATTTCAACAATGATTGGGAGTAGAAACAATTATAATAAAAAAGTTAAAATAAAAATCTAAATGTTCTAATACAGCTCAATTTTTATCCGAGGGTTGATTATTAAATAAATGTAATTTATTTAAAAAAAAAAAAAAAAAAACTTTTCTGTTTCTATAATTTCAGTAAAAAAAATCATTTTTGTGCGCCGGTTAAAACTAGAGGTCAACCCATACTGATGATTAGCTTCAAATTAGATCCATTTTATGAAGCGATGAAGTCAAAACACTGCAGAAATGTGTGTAAGTGTTTGAAGACTCACTCTGTAAGAAGCGGATCTGTTTAGCAGATTCTTCAGTCTGCTGTCTGTTGGTTGTCCTCTCCTCCTCAAGCAGGGCTGATGGGAAAAAGATGTTCAGTGATTCACGCAATCATGACTCGTGATTATTGATGCAGAATCACTGGCACTCGACACCCTGACGTACCCTGAAGCTCAAGGCATTTCTGTTTGCCGGTGTTGGCGAGCTCCTGGGCCTCCTGCAGCTCTCGGTGGAGGTGTGGGATAACCTGCTCAGTGTCTCCTGCTTCCAGGTTCCTGTCCATTTCTACAAACATACACAGAGCAGATGGAAGAGTGAGGGAGGATGAAGAAATAACATGGCTGACATGAGGTAAAAAGACAGATAAACAGACCTAATGAGTGAAACCTTGAACCCAAAGTACTGCTTTTATAACTCATCCTGCATCGCATGAACGAAACCTCAAATCATGCAGCTTGTTGCGAAATACTTCTCTAAGTGATTCTAGCCCTTTATACTGATGATGCATGAACCTTTTCACAAATAAACATGCCTTTAGGAACCCATTAGTGGTAAAAAAAAATAAACACATAGGGTATAATTTATAAAGAGTTGCAGATTTGTAAAGCTGGGCAATTAGGGTCGCAAAATTTGAAACTATGAAACATTGAACTCTTGTGAAAGTGAAATAAAAAATTCAGCACACAAATGTATATATATATAAAAAAATACTATATTTACTATGTAATACTATATTTTAACCAGTAGGGATGCATCATGAATTTCACTGAGCATTTAAATACTATAATAAAAATATATCATATTTTAAATATAATGCAGCTATTTTAATACCACCTAATTTATAAATATATATAATAAATATACATTGTCAAATCAATGAGACAATGACGAAATATCTAGGAAAACACCGGAAAATAATTTGATTTTGTACCATTTATTCAGACGGCATTTTCTGAAGCAGCTGTGAAACTGTATATTGAAAAGTGTTATATATATGAAGAGTTCAGATGCAAAAGCCTCTAAATGCCATTTGAAATTTTCTTCTTTAATGATGATTTTTATCAAACTTGTATATTTAAGTTGAGTAATTTCACTTAAATGGCACTGATAATTACCTATTAATTGTTATTTAAGTGAAATTACTGAACTTAAATATACAAGTTTGATAAAAATCATCATTAAAGAAGAAAATTTCAAATGGCATTTAGAGGCTTTTGCATCTGAACTATATATGTAAAAACATCTAGTTTCTAATAAATTGATCTTTTCAGTCTCAGACTGCAAACATTTCCGTGCTAAAACACTTCTCTCACCGCCTTTCCTAAAAGCCCAAAGCCGTGAGCGTGAGACGAAACAATCACGACGGTTCAAAACTCTGTCCAAACGTTAGGAGCCACAAATGATTCTGTTCGACCCCATGAGCAAAAACATCAAGCACTAAAACTTGTTTACTGCAAACCAGAATCAAGATGCTTGTTCAGAATCAATTCATTACGTGAAGCACAAAGCATTTCTGTGTGCTCGGTCCATCAGTGAAAGACTTGAGTGCAAATGCACAACATGCACAGACATATAGGCATATAAAAAGCATCGGACAATAGACAACTTAAACCATAACAGAGCCCTGATGGAGGATCTACAAATGAGCCACTGAGATGACCTGCACCAGGCCAAGCAAAAGAGTCATTAGACACTTTCCTTAGTTCTCTCATCAGATTTCATGCCGAGCAAACGTACATTTGCCCCTGCAGTCTCTCTGAGGAGCATCCAGTTGGTCTCTAATGTGGTCTTGTAACAACAGGCTTTTGGGAAACCTCCTCTGACCATAAACTGATGAATGTCCCCCCTCTTAGAACACACTACAGATGTCGGTGAAGTCATGTGCTAATTTAAGGGCTGGTAATCCGTCATGATGTCAGACGGAGGGTGTTTACTGCGAGCGAGGGAGTTGCTTTCAGGCAAAATGATGTAACGAACTTGTCGTTTCTGAAGTTTTGCCATTCATTTTAATGAGAGGGGGCCTAAAGTGGTGTGTAATCTCATTCTGCTCCTCCTCCGGTGATTTCATCAAGAGCTTCTCAAAAGAATGTTATTGCTGAGATTGAGTATCACAACCATATAAGGTTACATATGTTCAGATAACTCTTCATTAAGGCGATTGAATAACTCGTGCCAGACGCCCAAGAGTAGATGTGATCTTGGAGCAAACAGCGCCCCCTAGAGCTATTTTTAACAAAAGCTTGTTGGACAAATCAAAATGCAAATGTCTTATCCAAAACAAATACAGCAGAATTCTGACTGATAATAAACTGAACAATTATTATGTTGGCTTGAGATGTCAGTGTAGTGGTTCTCAATCAGGAGGCCATGGTTCACTAGTGGGCCATAAAATGGCTTAAATGTATTGAATTAATGACAAAACATAAGCAAACATGGCTAAAAATAAATATGAAAACCAACATATTTCTTAATCTATTCCCTAGTTTTTATTTAAAAACCAGGATTCTTGCTGTCTTAAATTTTTGTTTTTTGTTTTTTGAATTTATCCAAGATTTTCAAGAAATTAAGACCTTTTTAGAAAAGTCAGAGAAATTAATAAAATCTGTAAAATATTCATGTAATTAAAAAAAATAAATTGAAATATTTTCTCGAGTAGAATGGAGTCAAAAAGGTTGAGAACTACTGATTTAATGGGAAGTAAACACAGTTAATATCCCCTGGTTCTAGGATCCTTTGTGCATAATAATCTTTGCATATTAGCACATTTCCATATGATAGGCTACATTTACATAGTGCATATTGAGTTTTCTGCAACTTGACCTTAGGTACAGGTCAGAGGTCCACTTATGAAGCTAGTGTTGTGTTTTTTTGCACCAAACAGCTAGAATGACTTTCCTACAACAATTACATCATTAGACCTACTAGGAATAAAATAATCAAGATGTTTCTTTAAATGTGACTCTAATGATCCTCAGAGGTGGCAGCACACGTCACTCTGGTCTTGGCCGCCTCGGAGTCTGCCTGGCACACACTACGGTTCATCAAGACGACCCACAAACAATTAAGTGCTGAAACAGGCACTTCCTCCCTGATCCATTTAACAAGAGCCAGTGCTCCTTATCTGACGACCCGTTAAACTGCGATCACGAGAGCCCACTTAGACTGAATTAAATCCGATGCAAGTCTAAACAAGATTTTTGTTCAATGACAACTTGCCTTATTGGTAAACAGTATGTAGAAAATAAAATTGGTCTGACAATGAGTTGTGAACAGGTTAATTTGAATAACAAATAAGGGTAAATGTTAAAATAATGGTGACCAAACCAACAGTCCCTAAAATGATCTATTGGGTCATATCTCTTATTTAGGTATCAGGAGGGTAGATAGACCCTGTTCACCAGCAAACCCAGCCAGGTCATGTGACACAGAGACAATAAGTCTACAAACAGAAATGAAAACAGGGGCTTCTTAGCAGGAGCTTCACAACTTTGAAACATCTTTACAGGTGTCATACTTCAATTTTGTAACATTTAATGCCCATTTAGTGTTATCCAGGGTGTGTTTTGAATCAAAAACGCTCATGGTTAAATATCATTTTTTGGTCCCACTTTATATTAAGTGGCTTTAAGTACCATGTACTGGCATTGAAATGAATAATTTGATACAATGGACTTATTGTGTACATACATGTTTTTACATTGTACTTATATTTTAAAAATACCAGCATGTAATTACAGCTGTATTTAATGCATGTAATTACATCTGTAATTACACAGCTGACCCATCTCTCACACTTAAACCCACCCATACCACCACACCTGTCCTATCCTTACCCGTATCACACCCCAATAGCAGCAAAAGTCATTCACAATACAACATGAGCACAATAAGTACATTGTACTTATTTTTAAATGTAAGTACATAGTACTTAAAGCCACTTAATATAAAGCGGGACCAATTTTTTTTTTACTTAAACCAGCTGGTTGTACTACTGTACTTTTAAAACTTCGATACGGAACATAAACAACCTCCGATTAGTTCAGTTTGTGGTTCATTAGAGCAGGTTAAGTTGTTGAATACTCAACGGACAATGAATTCGTAAATGCGGGGGGTCAAATGTTAATGAGTATGACATTATAGCATCTGAATGAACTGTTTTAGCAGTTTAGTTACGATAAAAGGTCTTTTTGGAATGCAAATGGAATTATGCATTATGAACGTTACGCAGTATGCCTATAGAGCACATTTGCAGATGGATCTCCATGGAAATGGATGTGTGGGAGCACTGCCGTCTGGTGTGACTCAGCAGGGCGAGTAGACATCTTCAACCTGTGTGGGCAAGTCACAATTGACCGTTCACAAAGACCCGCCCACTTTAGTTACCGTTGCCATGTCCGACGAGCTACGCCGCTCTCAAAAATCCAATTTACTTATTTTTCTAAATGTGCAAATCTCAAACTTTAAGAGTAATTTAAAGGGGCACTCCACCCCAAAATTAAAATTGACTTTCTTTGTTCTGCGTAACACAAAAAACGAGATTTTTTACCTCCATTGTATAAAAAAAAAAAAATCTTTAATGTTCCACACAAGAAAGAAAGTCATATCATCTTGGAACAACATGAAAGAATTAACATTTTTGGGTGGAGCATCCCTTTAAATTACTTTAAAATTTGAACACTAAACACTCTAAAAAGTGACATTGTGAAAGCACTCCGTGTCTAATAGGGCTGTAATTGGTTTACATTCCACACTGTCGTCCAACTGGAACACAAAGTGGGACGATGGGAAGATCTGAGGGAGGGATATAAACCAGGATGACGCAGAGACACCTGTTCGGCGCCACGGAGAGACGACGACTCGAGCCCACCGCTAACACCTTGTGGGTCCCACCGCTGTCGCCATATATAGTCACATTGGGGAATAACACACCCTGTTAATCTGCACAGTTGTGCCGCATGCCAGTCCACTGACCACTAATGAGTGCAGATAAAGAGGGTGACTAACACTCCAGTTCAGTCAAATCACACAAACACACCCCACATCAGCACTGGCATTTCAGACAGGGAAGCTCAACTCAACAAAAGAATGGAGGGATTACCTTTCAAAAGAGAAACCCTGTTCTGGGGATCGTTCAGTTCTTGTTCATCCATCTGTCCGTCTGGAATGAGGGAACGAGCGAAAGAGAGAAACGTTAAAGAAAGCTATCAGAATGGTTAACCTCACCAGTTTGGCTATGTTGTTCAGTGTTTTTTTTTTTGTTTTGTTTTTTTGTTTTTTATAAATAAGGGGACTAGTGCTTACATATAATTCTAGTTATGCAGCTTTATACTTGAGAATATGTATGGATATTGTGACGGCCCTGGGGCTGTATGAATTTGTATAAGTATAAAGCTGACTATGCCATTTAGCATACATCTGCGATGTATTTATGCATAATTCCTTCTCCCTTCTGTTATTATTGTTTTTTTGCTTTAATTGTTCATCATGAAAATCAAAAAATAAAAATAAAAGTGTAAAAAAATAAAAATAAAATAAAATTTGTATGTATTGAAAAAAAACAACAACAACATAAAAACATTAAAGAATGAAAGAATAAATACATAGAATAAATAAAAGGAAATATATTTTAAAAATTCAATAACGCTTTTTAAAAAAAATTTAAAAAGTGGGATGTATAAATAAAAAGCTGTAGAAACCAAAACAGCAATTCATACATTAAAAAAAAGTACGATCATGTTTTACATACCTGATGTGTCGTCACTGCTTTTCTCCTTGCTGGGACTCAGAGTATCTGACATATCGCACTCTTTAGCGTCTATCTGGTTTTCTATGGAGGCAGAGCGGAAGAGACCACTTAGAGGAGAGGGGGGACGCAACTCAAAACAACACCAAAACACCACAAAAGACAGCGATTGCAACCTTACTAGGCTCTCTGCTTCAATTCCTTAATCTGATCAGGAGTGTGTTTGCAGGTTGTTAATATATCAGACTCGATTTCTCTGGATCTACAATAGCAGGCAGTGAATGAGCCCCCTGTAGATCATCCTCTCTGGCTGGTGGTAGTTAATGCCCACACATGGTCATTTGAGTGACCTGGGCTTCAGTCACATGCTAAACTAGTTGCTGTGATGCAGTAATGGACTAAAATGAGTTATAAATGGGGTTTGAACAGGGGAGGTGACGGCTGTCTTAAAAAAGCTTCTGGGAACATGTTCATACAACGAATAATGCATCATCTGATATAATTGAACTGCACTTTTTTCAATGGAACTTATGCCGTCTAGACACTTTCATTAGTCTTAGACATCAGGTCAAACATTACGCAAACATTTAATCAATATATAACCTCAAAAATTCCTGCGGTTACGTCACATGATAGATCTTTTGAACTCAATATAGCGAATGGTGACTCAATGGGACAAAAAACGAAATGATATCGCCATAGGTAATAGATGACCAGTGAATTATAATCTTAATGTTGAAGGAATACAAATGTATTAAATGTTTCATAAAGGTTTAACAGTATTAACTGAGAAAGTACACACAATGTTTTCCATTTAGAGGCAATCAAGTTAACCTTTTGTCACATCAGTTGGGCCTTTTGTTGATCTAATCAGGCTGATTGGATTAGCATCTCATGGTTATACTGTTACCTGATGAAAACATCTGCATCTCTCATCACAAGAGGTCATATCCTGGACTAGAGCGAAACTACTTATTTTCTTCTGCATTGATTAAATGGATTTAACCCTTTCTAATAGTACAATAAAAGTTCATAAAAAAAGGTTAACCCATTATTATCATTATTATTAGCCAGAATGAATGTAAACATTAAACAAAAAACTTTTAAACTATTTTTTTAATAATATTAGGTCAAACTAGTTTTAACACTTTCAACTGTAAAAGAAAAATGTATCAATTATTATTATTAAGAAGAAAGGATTTAAACATTTTAAATTGCAAATTGAAAAAGTTACATTTTTTACCTATTATAATTACTATTATTACATTATTATGTGGAATGCATTTGAACATTTTAAAATGAAAAGGTTGCAACAGATACTTTTCCAACTATTATTAATAGTAATAGTTGATCTCTATAACTGATGATGGTGATGATGATGCAGTAATGACCCTGACCTGGTCATGCTCTTTGAAGAGGCTAAAAATAACTGTAATGTTCATTACTGCCACACAGAGCACGCGGTTGTTTAATTTGGTTTTAAACGGAGGCCGGGGGTGCAAACTTCGTGCTTTCATTGCAATCAGATTGCATTATAATGTAATGTGACAGTTCTCTCAAAACTAGCTTAAAGGGATACTCCACTTTTTTTGGAAATAGGCTCATTTTACAACTCCCCCAGAGTTAAACAGTTGGGTTTTACCGTTTTCGAATCCATTCAGACAATTTTCTGATATTTAGAAGAATATCAGTAACCAGACAGTTTCTGGTCTCATTGACGTCCATAGTAGGAGACCAGAAACTGTCTGGTTACTGATATTCTTCTAAATATCAGAAAATCGGCTGAATACATCTGAAAATGGTAAAACTGAACCGTTTAACTCTGAGGGAGTTGTAAAATGAGCCTATTTCCAAAAAAAGTGGAGTATCGCTTTAATCTAGAAAGAAACGGACTTGAAGTGACCAAAATGTAAGGATACCTTTGAGCCTGTCTGGACTGGCCAAGCTGTTGTCCACTGTCGTCTGGTTATTCTGAAGATGCGCATCAATAACCTCTGTGGAATACAACTGAAGTTGTGAAATCGAACAGGATTAACAGCACACAAACTGCAAATTGTTCCTGAGTCCACAAGAATTACATACTAGAATTTCACCTCAAATGAATGAACAACAAAATATGTATCAATGAAATCAATCAATTAAAACACACACACACACACTCCGCACGCTTACCATCAAAGTTGGACAGCTTGTTAATAGATGAGTCCACAGCTTCCTTCAGCTGCCTCACCGCTGGTTAGAAAAGAGAAATGTCATGTTAGCATAAATCTCTTTATGGTCACTAAACCAAGCCTGATGCAACTATTAAATATTTAGCAATAAACATCAAATCTCATGACGCAGCCCAACTAAATACATTATCAGCAGCAAAAAACAAACTCATTTGTAGTGTTCTCCATACATACAGAACAAAGCGAAAATGACACATGAAAAGCGTCAGTGGAAGCTCATAGACCTCAGGACACATGCTGGTGAGAGTGAAAATCCCCGGGAAAAGAGAAAATCCAGGTCAGCTGGTGGTGACGGGAGAACAGACGGCATGCAGAGTGTTTTCGTTAAGAATCCAAGTCGGATTTGGAGATATTTACTTGTGTACAGAGACTATATGAATCTCATAGACAGATTATAATTAGCTATAGACAGAGAGATTCAAGGTTGCACAACAGATAGTGCCAATACTAAAGCCTGAATGCACTCGAGGTCACACCGTTCTGCAATATAGTGTAATATTATTTTGACAAACCATATTGCTTAATATGCATAAAAAAGCAAATATATTAACTTAGCTCGAGGAAGATCAAGAAAATAGAACTCGAAATGAAATGCAAATCATACACCAATTTTTTAACTATTACAATCTTTTAGATTAATGTCAAAAAAACAAAGGTGGCATTTCACAAGATATGGAACGAGGAGCTTGAAAACTACTGTCAACTAAAGAGTCAACGCAAACACTTTTAGCTTCCAAATTACAAAACCACTTTCTTCCCATTTATATATATATATATATATTTTTTTAATTATATATATATATATATATATATTATTTTTTTTGATAAAATAAAATAAAAACACGAAAAAAGTTCCATTATTTTTCAGCATGTCAAACACTTTAAAGTCAATTCAACCTTACAATTGGGCTCCACTATTTTACACTATTACAAAACTTTTTGTAAAATACTTGGATTTGTTATTTAAATTGGCATTCATTATTTTACTCAATAAAAGTATGTTGTAAATATGCATCTTTAAAAAAAAAAAAAATCATCTAAATAAGTCTGTTGATCCTAATGTACAAATGGTTTTCGGTTTAAAATGACTCGTGGTTCAATGGGAGCCATTAGTGAACTCAATAACAATTCTCAAGGTCGAGGTCTATTTTTATTTCATGGTCAAGGTTTATTATTATTTTTTATTTACAAAAAAAATAAACAAATAAAGTGACCAATAACGATAATTTTTCTGAGCGAGTGAGTCTGATTCAAACTCAAAAAGAATGCCTTTACAAGAGTCATTTGTTCACATCGCATTTCTTGTTGTGTGTTCAGGAATCATATGTAATTTACAAACACTACCTCGCAAAATATTAGACAAAATCGCATTTAGACACAGGCAAATGTTCCCTACTATCGCCAAAAGAGATTAGACTTTAAATCGGTCGCGCTCGCAAATGAAAAAATAACATTAGTTGCAGTCCGAGACCCTCTAAACACCTTCCTCACTTTACAGAGTAAAACAACAATAACGGATCCCTGCTTTGATACTCAATATTAATAAGATGTTTTATTAGTATGGCTTTGGAAGACTTTGGAAAGAATGCGATGTACTCACATTGACACTCAATGTACTGTTGGATTAAAGTGCAGTCTCCTCCACTCTTTAAAAGAAAGTGGTCTACCAAAGAAAGAAAAACCCTCCATTAAATGAACAGCACATGGACTAACACATCGAGGGGCATCAGATGATAATAAAACATAAGCCAGATCTACAGGATACAATACGAGACGGAACCAAACAGAGATGCAGAGGGCGGGACAAGGACACAGACGGGAGACTGCAGCTATTCGTGGACCTGCCCTGAAGAGATTGACTGACAGCTGTCATTCACCTGTCACCACTAGGACAAACACTGATAATCAAAGATGACGTTTTTGCAGATGATTCCACCTCTTATAAGCATCAGAAATACTGAATTGGCGGGGAATCTCCTAAATAAAATATTCAAAATAAAAACTCGGTTTGGTAATATGACTAATGTCATTTTTTATCTTATATCATTATTTTTTTTATAGTCATATGGATGCATCATCACAATGTTTTGGCCAAATTGTGCAAACAAGCTTGTAACTATTTATAATAATAATAAAAATTGCAATCACAATTTTTTTATCAGAAAAATAGCAATTCGATTTCCCCCCCTCCGGCTGCCCTATTATCAAAGCTTGAAGTCAGTTTCCCGTACAACTATTTTGACATGCACATCACTCATGGCTCAACAACCAAACATTTCGATGCCAAACGACACCATCTTTAAAGTTTTCCAGCAAATTTCGTGATTTCACAGGCTGATGTTCCCTACAAGGGTCTTATTGAAAAAACATGCTACCCTATCCTAATCATTTCTGAAGTCAGTGCGTTTCATGGAAATTAAAGACGAAGGGAAAGTTCAACGAGAAGAACGTCTCAGCCAGGAAGTTTGTGTTATGTGCTGCACCACATCAACGAGAATGGCAGTTTCATTTCTGAGATGCTGCCGCTTTACATCTCTTTCAAGGAATATAGTTCTAGAAATGTGAAATTAGTGATTATTGGGCTCCGTTTCAAACCCTAGTGGCCTTGCTGGGTACTGACTACACTGATCTTCCGGCAGAGTTTAGTGCTGACCCTAATTAAAACATTGCCTAAATGACATTAACAACATCAATTAGCAGAATTGAAAATGGGTCCTAACTAGGGCTGGGTATTGACACAAATTTTACAATTCGATTCGATTTCGATTCACAAGCTTGCAATTCGATATCGATTCGATTCAATATTGATTATCTTGGATATCAGTTATAATAAATGGCAAATTTTCTCAAGGAAATCAAATCTCTCAACTAATGCTCTAAGCTATAGGAGTCTAGTTGTAGCCTAAAGGCTTCATTAGCCTAATATGAAGGTAATAATGAACTGTTTTGTAGCTATACAAACACTTAAATTACACTTTTTTTATTTTTTATAATAAGATTATATGAAATATGAACATTTAAATGGTGTCTGTCATAAAAACTTGCCAGACTTATTCAAATATGCATTAAATATTGAAGAACATTAAGATTATAATGCATATGTAATATGGTGTATATATTTAGCAAAATGCTCCTCTCTAGAGTTATTTTTTCTAGCTGACTAACGAGTTTATGTGGGTTTTCTGAGGTAAATATGACGATGACATTGATTACAAGCTGTTTAACTGACGTCTTTCCACGGTTGAAACGCTGATTGAGTGAATCAATGTGACATGATACGGATTTCGATAAGTTGTACTCTATCTTTAACCACTTAACTGTCACCGTCCCACAGGTGGGACGTTTGCCACTATATTTTTAAAACAATAATATCTTAGTAAATACCTTAAATAATATTGACAAACTATATATCATTTGAAAGCTTACAATCTCTAGTTTCCATATTTGGTGACTGATTTTCAAAATATATTACAGAGGAGCCATAATTTATCAATATAAAACAAGAATATTTTCATACTCATAAGGCGTGTTCAGACCTTTATTTTAAAATAGCAGTAAACATGAAAAATCATGAAAAAATGGTAGATACCTCAGTTTGTTTTCATGCCAAAAGTTCAAAAGATAGAATCCATTCAATTATTTTGGAAAAAAAAGGTCTGAAAAGTTTGAAATATCAAGAAAAAAATTATAAATTTACGTGACGTGGCAGCTAGCTATGACTTACATGCGTGTTCTTTGTATGTGTTTCTTAGAGGTTCAGTTCATATCAAAATCTGCCAAACTTCCCATGCTACTTCTGAATAGGATCTCTACTTCAGAAATTGTATGAAAATTGTGAAAATAATGGTTCATATCACTCAAAACACGAATGGAAATGCAGACGCCCTTATATGGGCAGTAATGGAGTCTGATTGTGCCCTAGTGAAAAAGTTTGGTACTGCGCTCAAACAAAATCTTACTGAAAGCTCATTTTTTGAGATATCAACCTAAAATTTGAAACACAACTTGTTCAGATTTTTGGCTTTGATCTTTCTGCCATTTTAGAGTAGCCCAGGTTTTGAAAATATATATTTTATGTAAAATATGAATAATTAATATTTTTACATTGTACATTTCCATAAACTCAAACTTCTATAACTTTTTTTCTGTTTCACTTTCTTAATTTATTTCACTTCTACAAAAATCTGCCAAATGTCTTCTTTAAAACAAGACCAATCATATGTCTATATTCCAAAGCATTCTTGAATTACAACCATTTAAGTTCGAAATGTGCATTTTCATCTATATTCAAAAAGGGGGGGGTGACAGTTAACAGGTTAACACACTTTCAGATGCTCATTCATGTTTATTTGGCGCTGTGACTGGTATTATTAAGCCGGAAGAGAGATCAGCGCTGCTGCTTCTCCAGAGCGATCTCACGCCACAGCGCCAAAACGCTATTTATGTTTTTGAATTTCTAAAGAAAATGGACGTAATTTGAAAATCGAGACTTTGTTTCATATCAATAGTAACAAACGACAAAGATTATTGCGATTTTTTGGATGCGCGCAGCCACGATACAATGTCCCATTCATTCAAATGAAACAGGATGACTAATCGATTCTTGAGATTTAAGAATCGATATCGGTTCGTAAAAATGAGAATCGATTAACATCGAGAAATCGATATTTATTACTCAGCCCTAGTCCTAACCTTTCAGACCTTTATTATTAATCAGTCAAAGAAGTCTAGTACAAAATACACATGACTAAACAGGCCAACCAGCTCACACTGAAACTCCCTTCCTCAGAATGCGTCCCTCCCATACTGATTAATTAAACGTACACAGGAAGAACTTAGTGACAAATGGCCAAATGACGGGGGAAAAGTTAAATAAGCCTCCTAAGACTGTACACACATGCTCAGTGGAAAAGATCAAGGCCATCGAGACAGAAAAGGTCATAATGAAAGCAAAGCCGGACAGACAGAAAGAAAAAGGGACAGAAAAAATAAATAAATAGGCGAGCTCCCATGCTGAATTAGTCAGAGGCGATGCAAGGTTAGCAGCACACTAGCAGACGCATGCGTCTCCAACTCACCTAAGCTGTTGTTTTCCTTTATGCTTTTCTCCTGCAGCTGTTCTAACCGGACTGGAAAACGACAACGAGAAGATTTTGACAAAGAGCTCTATACCGACAGATGCTGCTCCTCGACCGGTTGCATCTATTTAGTTAACCGTGTACCGCTCTCAACCAAGAGTCCTGTACTGAAATACTGCATGATTGTGCATTTTACCTTGCAGGGCCGTTAGCCTCTCATTTGTGAAGTCGTTGTCCGCCTGCAGAGCTTCGATTCGAGCCTGAAGCGACTGTTCCTTCTCCTCCATCTCTTCAATCCTCAGCTGTAGCTCTTTCTTCTCATTCAGGCCTTTCTGAGTGAGCTCCTCGTGTTTGCCCTCTGCCAACTACACACAAAAGTTTTGAAATTGAACAGGTTTAGCAGTTTGACAGGTAAAGTCAGTGATGTAGTGATGACTGGAGAAGTGGGTATACTCTTAATTTATGCCCCCAATATTTTTTTAAGCGTCCCAGGAAAGGATGAACGCTCTGTGTTATAAACAGTGACATGTAAGACTACTAGTCTTGCATTAGTATTCAATATGCAAGACTATAGAATAGAGTATAATGAATACAATAGAAGACATAGAATCAGTAGTATCCTTGCATATCAGGGCCGCACATATGGTTTTCTAAATACCCAGGTGCCTGCCAGGTCCCATAAATTTTATTGTTAAGGGGGTTCGGGGGCATGAGAAAATTTTGATTTTCCTGATCTCGAAATGAGCATTTTAAGGTGTTTTGATGGCCAAAAAAATTGACAACAATAACTTTAAAAGCATGAAGTAGCCTATTTGATCAGATCCTCAAACATGAGAATCAGTTCCAGTTTCAGCGACTTTTCTTTCCTAAATTAATCAATGTTTTTTGGACTAATCTGTTAATTTAATTAATGGTTCAATTGCTCACTCAAAAAGACAGTCACTTGTCGCCACCCTCTGGCTTAATGATGCAAGTGGCGTAAACACAGACAAGCGGAGTTATACAAGCAGTGAAAAGTCAAACACATTCGAAAAAACGTTATACAAATATGTTTATACAATAATAATGGCGGGTGCTTGTGTTGTTAAATTGAGCTTATAATTTCCACTGCCTTTAATCAAACTGATTATTTCTGTCGGTCATTTAAAACGTCTATTGAAAAACAGCCGTAAATTTGAGCTACTTATCTCGTTAACTGAAGTGAAGCGTCGCGTTGGGATTCGCGCTCGGCTCGCGCTTCTATGAACAAAAATACTGCATTCTTTGATTGGTCTCACTGACGAGCAGGTGAGTGCTGAAGCAGATCAGATGAGAAGGTCAGTTATCGTCGCGATGGGAGAATCATTGCAGCAATATTACGGGTACGACTCTAACTGGGTGTTTTTTTTTATTCACGAAATTGGATTAGCAACTAAATGATGCGCATCAGAGGGGATTTAGAAGTGGGTATACGCAATGCCGACTGAAAAGGAAGTGGGTATACGCCGTATACCCTGCACTACACCACTGGGTAAAGTTTAATGTGCGGCAGTGGGTGGAGATAGACATGCCTTGATCTTTTCCGTGAGATCCTTGATTTCATTGACCGCTCCGTTGTATTTGTTGGCGAGTTCTCCGAGCTCTTCCTGTGTGTGTTCGTTCATCTCTCTCAGGTGCGTGCACTCGTCTTCTGTGTTACTCAAGCTCCTCTGCAACACAAAAACACACAGCTGATGGAAACTTTATTTCATTTTATACTTATCATTTTATATCGGTTCTGAAAAATGGTATCGGTGCATCCCGATCAATAAAAGATGTATTTTTTTTACCTCCACCTCGGACAGTTTCCGGACCACCTCGATTTTCTCCTGAAGGACCCGCCTCAGGGACTCTTTGGCTGTCGTCTCGTAATTGTGTTTGTCCTCTGTTAAGGCTACAAGCTCCTTTCGGATCCCGTCTTCTGTTTGGTTCTGAGGAGACAGCATGCAGTGACGCGACAGGAAATCTTTATCTGAGAGCACATGCAAATACTCCAAGCAGACACGGGCCTTACTTTTGAATATGCTTGCAACTGATTCCCCATCACCTCCAATCTAGAAAGTAACCGGTCTTCATCGATTAAAGCCTGCAAAGACCAGTAAACAGACCTTGCTATCATATCATAAGTGTTATATATTGTGAGTGCTGCTAAACATGCCTTCAACAGTATTGAATAATTAACAATAGTCTCCTCTTTAGTTGCGATGTGTGATGTACCTGCCAGCTGCTCTCTGACGCCTCCTGTGTGCTGGCCAGCAGCCTCTGCAGAGTGGCCAACTTCTGCTCCAGCATCTGCTCTCTGTGTAAGGCCTCCTGAAGGACACAAGCAGAACATCAACACTATCTGATTGCTAAAATATATATATAATTAAAAATATTCATGATTCTGAAGCTGAAAATACATAAATTATTGCTAACGCTTCCTTTTACAGTATAGTACTTACAGTGTACTTACCTAGAAAGTACTGGCTAATATAAGGTAAGTACATAGGTTTAGGGTTAGTACTAGTTATTACCCAGTAATTGAAGTTACTAAAATAAGTACATAGTATTTACATGGGTAACTGGACTGTAAAAGGAAGCGTTACCAAATTATTTTAGACAAATATGCACTCCGTCACTGACTACATACATTTAAAATAATGTAGTAGGCCACTTTGTACTGGTAACAAGACATTTCGCATTATCATTCAGGACCCATAAATATTCCCGCATTGCATTATTATACAGTATATTCAACATTATATATAGTAGTTAAATGTAGTACGGACACAAAAACTCTGAAAACTTTTTTATTTAAAAATTGTAATTTTAAATAAAAAAAATGTAATATTTTGGGTGAACCAAACAATACATAGTCACTATCCACAATACATATTGTTGCATTTTTGTATTGCGATATACTGTAACATGATATATTGTTACATATATATATTATTTATAATATATATATATATATGAAGAGTTCAGATGCAAAAGCCTCTAAATGCCATTTGAAATTTTCTTCTAAAATGACCATTTTTATCAAGCTTGTATATTTAAGTTCAGTAATTTCACTTAAATGACAATTAATAGGTAATCTTCATTGCCATTTAAGTGAAATTACTGAACTTAAATATACAAGCTTGATAAAAATGGTCATTTTAGAAGAAAATTTCAAATAGCACTTAGAGGCTTTTGCATCTGAACTCTTCATATATATATATTATATATATATATATATATATAACATATCTGATCACAGGAATAAATTATATTTCAAAATATATTCAAATATTAATAGAAAACAGCTATAATAAATTGTACAAATATTTCACAATATTACTATTTTGAATTAAATGCATCATGTATTTATATATAAATAATACATTTTATATATATAAATACATGATGCATTTAATTCAATGATGCATTTAATTCAAAATTATAAAAGTAAAATTATTTAATATAAAAATTATTTACATTAAATAATAAATATATATTATTAAATAAATATATAGTAATTTACTGTATTAATATATTACATTTCAAGACTAGTACATAAAAAAGGATCAACATCTCATCTTTTCTCATTATTTTGATAGGTAATGCCTGCAGATGGCCTGTAGAGGTCAGTGTTGTTCAATACCTGCAGGTACTGGGAGAGCTGAAACAGTTCCTGAGAATACATATTGGGTGTATTTGCGGACACCTGCATGAGAGAAGGAGAAAAAAATAGATAAACTGTGTGCAGATTGTTTTTCTCTCACAACCTCGGGTCAGTGTACTTCAACAAAACACTAATCTATTGAGCATCTTTTCACATGTTGTCCTTGATGCATTTAACAGTACAGTCAAAAGCAGTTTTCAGTCTCAAGAAACTAAAATTGCATCTTTTGAAAAGGTGAAACCTTGCAAATAACCTTGAATGAACCCAGTCTAGCTGAATAGGGGCCTTGTTCCTTATATTGTAACCACAATGTTCTAAATAGTGAAATTGTGACTCAAGATTTGCTACATTTATTGAATCCACATGATGAGACACTCCGAGAGCAGAGAGAAAGTCACAAAGAGTGCTTTTATATTGACAGCGTCAGATGCTGCCGTCAGATATAGAAGCGCTATATGCATCTGGGAATGGATGTGACATTGACAGGTCTGCATTCATAGGGGTTAGGGGGGACGCCGGTCCATCTTCATTACAACAGATGGAGGCTCAGAGTAACAGTGATGCAATGATTTACACATGCAAGGTTTTGTCATCACAGATGCAGATGATGTCAAGCCCCATCAGTACACTGATATCATTAGCTAATTGTTTTTCCTAATCCATCTGCCCGAGTCACAGTACAACTCCTGACTGAAATCGAAACACTCCCCAAAACATTCATTATTACTTCACTTTATGGTTTTTGACATTTAAAAACTGCTTTAACATCGAACTCCTTGCCTTGCAAAGTGTAAGAAAATTTGCTCAAAAAGTATACATACACAATTGTTCAAAAGTTTGGGATCAGATTTTTTGGTTGTTTGAGTGAAATTAATTATTTAATTCAGCAAGGACTCATCAAAAGTGACAGTAAAAACATACAGAATGATAAAAGATTTTTATTTCAAATAAATGCTTTTGAACGTGCCATTCGTCAAAATATCCTGAAAAAATTATCAGTTAACAAAAATATTAAGAACTATTTTAACATTGATAATAATAAATGTTTCTTGTTCAAATTATCATATTAGAGTGATTTCTGAAGGATCATGTGACACAGAAGACTTGAGTAATGATGCTGAAAATTCAGCTTTGATCACAGGAATAAAATCCATTTACAATACATTCAAATAATAAAAATAATTTGGCTGTCAAACAATTAATCTCATCCAAAATAAAAGTTTGTGTTTACGTAATATATGTGGGTGCCCTGTGTATAATTATTTTGTATATATAAATACACACACATGCATGTATATTTAAGAAAAAAATATTATTCATATATAAAATATTTATATTTATATATAATATAAATTATATATAAATAAATATACAGTATATACATGAAAATATTTCTTAAATGTATACAAACATGTGTGTGTGTATTTATATATATAAAATAATTATACACAGTGCACCCACATATATTACGTAAACACAAACTTTTATTTTGGATGAGATTAATTGCGATTAATCGTTTGACAGCCCTAAAAAATAATAATACTATTTCACAATAATTACTCTATTTTTATTGCCGATTAAATAAATGTAGCCTTGGTGAGCAGATGAGAATTCAATCAAAAACATTTTTTACTTTTTAAACTTTGAAAGGTATAGTGTACTACTTCACTAAATTACACAATATAGTTATATAAATTGGGATGTAGTTTGACTCTAGCATGGCAATGATCTCAACATGCTATCAGTAATAGTATCTGATTCCAGATGCAACAAAGAGAAGAAGAGAACGGCTTTATTAGATTTCTGTTTAAACACTAATGTGATTAAGGATGAGTATATATTTAAATCTCTTAAAGGTGCCATCTGGAACTAAAAATCAAAAAATATTCCATATTCCATAACAGATGGGGGCAGTATACCTCCAGAAAATGTGTTGTGCCGCTGCCGCACGCACTCACGTCTTCAAACAACACAAACGAGCGCTGTTTTGCTCTCTTTCTCTGCATATTATTCAAATCATTTGACACGATAGTAAAAGGTTGGAAGACCGCAGTTTCACGTGGAGCATTTGGAGATTTTTAGAGATCAGAGACTAAATGAACAACATCTCAACACTAAATGATGAAGACCGACTCATAGACGCCTGTCTCAAAAACAAGCTGTTGCATTTCGACGATATGGGAAAATAAAAGCCTGCAGGCTATTATTTTAAGTTTATGGTATTCGTTTTGTTCATATTACACTTTTATTGTTAGTTTGAATTAATTTGACTGACAGCATTCGCTGCTGCCAGCTCTCATGAATTCACCGTGAGACATGCAATTAACACTTAGCAAGCAGGTTAGTTAAGCTCTCAGATTCTGTCAATTTTATTATGCAATTCAAACAATAAATACCGTTTTGGCGCTTGTACATGTTACACCACAGATCCCTAGCGCACGTGAACCGATCATCTCTACTAGCTAATGGTAAAAGAACCCGAACACTGTTGAAAGATACAGTATGCTACAACTTACCAAAATGTATTCCTCATGCATAATGTCAACCAATCATTTTTTGAACTCTTCCCTGAACTGAAATGTAGTAGTGGGCTGTATTTCCACACGACTGACATCAGGTTTAAGTACACACAAGCCGGCGCGAGCGCGACTCACTCGTGTACTGCAGTTTGGCTGGTGGTAACGTTGCCCGGCCGCATACCGCCTCCCATGGCCGGAACTGGTATTACGACACCTGCCGGGCCGGGGCTAGTAATTTAGCATGCTAATTTAGGTTTATATCTCGGCAGCACTATAACTTGCCAGTTTTTTAATTACATCATTGCACTTATTTCTTCTCATTCTTTTGATGCGTGTAGCTCATTTTTTGGATATTTTTACCTCAATTATTACATATGCCACCTTTAAAGAAAGACACCTCTGTGCACTACTGGGAACGATCCGCCACACAACTATAATGTTGAAGCTCCACAGAGGCATCCCACACAGAGGATGGCATGAGAGGAAAACTGCATTATCTAACTTCATCTGGACCACCTCCAGGATTGTTCACAAATATACCGCATGGGAACCTCAGATAGCAGCACATAATGCTGGCTGATGTCAATTCAAGGCTTTAGTAAAAGCAAGGACATGGAAATCAATGGCATTCATAACAAGCTGCTTCAAGGACAACACAGCAAAGCTGCATGCGGTTTGATATCCAAACTACACAATTATACAGAACATAATGATCTGGTTTGAGTTTAATCTGGAGAAAAACAACCTTACATCCTGCATAACGAAAGAAAACGGACACGAGCGCTTACCTTATCAATAGCCAGTGGCAGTGGTGCTGGAACAACACTGGAAGAGAGAAAGAGAGATTGTTAATGTTTTATGGACATACTGGGACGGGTCTACTGACACTATGCATGAGGAAAGTTGGTGCAAATATTTGCTAGCAGACTCACTCAACCGATTCAACTTTGCACTGTTAATCTTTTACAGTACAGCCCCTTTTTTAACTTGAAACTATTAGCACACCACATGAGAGATACAGGTTGTGTTTCATTCACCTTTTTGTGTTTTTGACTTGAAGGAGTAGTTCACTTTTGAAAAAACTTTTGCTGATAATTTACTCACCCCCATGTCATCTAAGATGTCCATGTCTTTCTTTCTTCAGTCGAAAAGAAATGAAGGTTTTTGATGAAAACATTCCAGAATTTTTCTCCATATAATGGATTTCAATGGGGTCCAAACGGTTCAAGGTCCAAATGAGAGTTTCTGTGCAAACTGTTCAAAGGGCTTTAAACGATTAAAGACGATGAATAAGGGTCTTATCAAGCGAAACCATCGCTCATTAAAAAAAACAACAAAGTTTAAGTTTTATAAGCTCAAATGCTCGCCTTGCTCTGTTCTGTGCACGTTTGTGACTCTCCTGTTTGAACTCGTTCATCAAAATGAACAAATCTTTTTCTGAGTCACTTGGTTCATTCAACGAACGAAACGAACAAATTGACTCGGAAAAAGATTCGTTCATTTTGATGAACGAGTTTGAACAGGAGAGTCACGAACATGCATCACAGAACAGAGCAAGGCGAGCATTTGAGCTTATAAAACTTAAACTTTGTTATTTTTTAATTAAATGAGCGATCGTTTCACTTGATAAGACCCTTATTCATCGTCTGGTGTCGTTTAAAGCCCTTTGAAGCTGCACTGAAACTCTCATTTGGACCTTGAACCGTTTGGACCCCATTGAAGTCCATTATATGGAGAAAATCCTGGAATGTTTTCATCAAAAACCTTAATTTCTTTTCGACTGAAGAAAGAAAGACATGGACATCTTGGATGACATGGGGGTGAGTAAATTATCAGCCAAAGTTGTGTCAAAAGTGAACTACTCCTTTAACTATAATCCCCATGGCACGTCACATTATGCAAGGTAATATCCAGTACTGTGATATTGCCAATAAAAGGAACAAGTCGACAACTCATAAAGTGTATTAAATCACAGACATGCTATTCATCAAAACATCAGATATCATCTAAATGATTCCAGCTATGTCATGCAACATCAGCCGTCCAGTTGGCAAAGCTGAACTTGAACCCAGTTTCCCGTGCTTAAATGACGTGGTTCAAAAGGTCAGCAGTGATACCGGTGGACTTTCTGCTTTAGAGAGCAAACGGGCAGAAACAGAATATGAAATGATCTCGGTCACTGAGACTTTGCGAAATGAGTCTAACTGAATGAAGTCAAGGGGAATGGAGTCTAGAGAACCACATGACAATCCATGAACCCTGATCCAATCTATAAACCCTGAAAAATATGCATAATGACAAAAATTTTCCAAAACATCACTCCCGGCTATTTATATGATGCAATCTTAAAGATGACAAAATAAACTTTTAACATGCATATGTAATTGGACACACATTTTAAAAATTTGACTCATTTCCATGTAATTTCTCCTATTATTGCCAGGTTTTGCATGACTATGACAAAGTGGGAAGTCCTTTTGGAAGAACAAACCCTTCGAAATATACCCTTCACCAACTTCCTGTTGGAACAGGATATACGTCAACAGAGGAAAGCAAATTTCACTCATGAATACAGTACATTAATTCTACATTAATTATTAAATGACCAGCCTTAAACCTATAATCCAGGTGGGTGAACTATAAAACGTGTAGAGAGAGGCGAGCAGAGATAAGTTCAGGCCTCAACACACCCATTTTAAAAGGTCCTGCAAGATGTGATTCACATTTCAAGAATTTTTTCCCATTTGAACTGCGTCATTCCTTCAAAAAGCTGCCGTTCCCTCTTTCTGGAAAAGTCTTGTTACCTGAAGTGTAGTAAAAGCAGACTTTATAGTGCGATATCCATCAGTCTGTGGTCTTGATATTTTTCTTTCCGACGCTTTGCAGAAGAACATGCAGTCATGCTCTCTTTAGAAGCTTGATAACATGGCTGGATCCTCGTCGCTTGTGCTAAATCAAAACAGCGCAGTTGTGTCCGCTCCACACAGCTCAACACCATCCACGCCTCTCCCACAGACAGCGGTTCAAAGTTCAAGTGCTTGTCATGTGATAATTCCAGACTCTTCTGAAATAAAACACACCAAAGTCCCTCAGAGCTCCACGCCGATCTGAAGTGCTTTCAATTTCCATGCGCAGTGAAACTCAGGCGGGACAATAGTAGCAGAACCTGATCCCCTGGCCGTCTGCCCCATGGCATCTGCTCAGCAACTCATGCAAAGAAACAAAGCCGACGGGTTGGAGAGCATTCCAGGAGACATGGGGGAAGATCGCGCTCGTGGGATGTTCATAACTAAATGGTGTTATGCAATGGTGGTACACAAATATCCTTATAGCAGTGGCACAAACAAAGGTTATGTTTGGAATAGCATACAACAACATAAAGTTTAGTATATCAATCATTTTTTTATTTAAGACACAAAGGTCCATATAAACAACACAGTACAGATATATATAAATAAAACAATACAAAACAATTAAAAATGATGCGGATGAGGCATCATTTATAAAACATATACAGGCTTCGGGTCCAATGTTTCCAAAAGCAAGCCATTTTGCAAGATGTAAACACTACTGGTCCAGAAACACTTCCTGTTTCAGTTTGTAACTGTTTTCTTTATTTCACATGTAAAGAAAACATCTTAAAGATGTTTGTTTAACTTTTTGATTCAGTTTTACATGTTCTGTTGGTTGTATTTTATCCCAGCTTTTATGTAGTGTTAAAAAACTGAAAGAGGAAGTGCTTCTGGACCAGTGTTTACATCTTGCAAAATATATATATATATATAATAGTATGTATACTGTGTGTGAACAATATGCACATTTTCTAGGGATGCACCAATAATTTTGCATGATACTGATAATTATTTATAGCAGAAAATTGTAAGCCTTAATCAAAATTTTTATATTATTTTTGAGAGCCTGGTCACCATTAAAAGCCATGTCTCAAGCACTTCAACAAATCAAACATATACAGTATTGTAGCCTAGTAAGATCAAGTTTTAAAATTAAGTAAATAAAGAATCAAACTGCATGTGCCATGAATAAAAAAAAATGGAATAGCCTCTTTAAGGACAATTAAATTATTTTAATTACACCATATTGTTGATGAAAGTTATATTACAAAAAAAATAAAAGTGCAAGCTATAATTAATAATGCATCTCACTTTTTGAAAAAGAAACATCAAAAATTAATGTCACGGTTTCAAATAAACAGCACTGCTGAAGCTGAAGAGCCGAATGAACACTGGGAAACTGAAGTTAGCGGGTTGATTAACTCAACAAAACTCATCCTATATGAGATTAATCAGATATTTATACAACATAAACATTACAACTTGTATCTGCACAAAATAACTTGAAGTTACGTGCTGGTCAAAATATGTAATCCATACCAATATGGTGGCCGATATATCATGCATCCTTCATTTTTTGTATTCTGCTTTTTGTTTTTAGTAAAAACATTAGTGAAAATGCAAAAATAACCATAACTTATATTATATCTAGATGCCATTTGCTATATTTAACTTGCATAAAAATGACCAACTCAAGTGGTGAGAATGTAGTATGTGTATATAATTTATATTACACATATTTTGAGTGTATATATAAACCGTCCGTTACACACACATCCAGAACCGAAGCTAGACATTTGCTAAAAAATGGACGCAAAAAGAAAAATGTTTAAAAAAAAATCTAAATGCCAAGGCAAATTGAGCTATTTCTGATTCTTGAATCTGAAGTTTATGTTGATAATAGCAACATCTCCCACTAAAGCAGTGTGGAGCTTCAGGCAGAGTGTCTTGTGAGTGTGTGTTTATGTAATCCAGAGATGAGTCACAGTAACTCTCCTGTTCCAAGCCTGCAGCCACACACACGCCATTGTTTGAGATTTTTGTTTCAATATGGCAGTCATGGGCTCACAGATAATTCATGAAGACTTGCCGATATCAACAGAGCCACAGAAAACACTCTGAATTTGATTGAGAAGTAGAGCCAGACCGATATATCGGGTGACCGATATTAGGCATTTTCCATAATATCGGTATCGGCAGTTATAATGGCCGATAAATAAATATTTAAAAAATAAAATAAAAACGGATGACACGCTTTAATCATCTCTCCTTGGCCTGTTTTATTGAAAATGTATGTTTTACAATTTGCAGTATGATGCTAAATTATGGCTCATCATAGACTAGCTAACCACAAAGCTAGCTAATGCCACTATCATCAGTGGAAGACCGCTAACGCTAACATTAATGAGCTTGGAAACCACAATGAACTTTTTCTGCCTAAATAAAGTAATGATTACTGTATTTATAACTAGCATATCTCTAGTTACAGTCCCTGCATTGTAAAATGTAAGTTATACTTGCGAGGAGTGAACATTTAGACATAGAGAAAAAGTATCAAACGTATCTTGTGCAGAAAAGTTAGCTTTTCTTTTACACGTGTGTGAAATCCAACAATATTTAATGAAAAAAAATAAAATATCGGCCGATATATCAGAATATCGGATTTTAAAACCCAAAAATATTTGTATCGGTCTTCAAAATCCTTTATCGGTCGGGCTATATTGAGAAGTATTTTGTTTTTATCCTCCAGGACTAGCTATTAAAACAAGTGTCATTTTTCAATTATTGGCATTGGCAAGGACAGACTGACATGCAAAATTTCCAACCACAATTTGTTCTTTACAAGTAGTAATCTACCACATATCTAGCTCATGGTGAAATTAAAATGTAATTGAAATAAATAAATATTATACATTTAGTTACTCCATCAGCTATTGATCAACCAAATCAGTCATACACACACGGTGTTAAGTG